AAATGTTGAAATGTTGAGTAATGTAACAAATTGCACGCCAAACGCCAAAATCAAGATATATGATTGAAATGTTGAGTAATGTTATTCAGAGTAAAGGTTACCGATAATCGCTCTACGTTGCATACATGTGGCAATTTGTTATTTGATGAATGAGTGTCAGTTTGTTACTTGATGCATGAGGTAATAAAAAACTACAATATTAATGTATCAAATAACAAACTGTCCATGTATGTTACGTAGGACGACAATCGATAGCCTTCATTATGAATAAATTTTTTATTAACTATCTAAGTGAGTTTTTTGTGGGATGAAGACTTGATTTGATATTGCTATAGATATTAATAGAATTGATTTTAGTTGTATTAAAGAAATAATCACTGAAGAATCATTTAAATGTTTACCAATTCAGTATGTGCTCAAAACAGAATTTGAGGATTTGATAAATAACAGTTTTTTTTTATATTATTGTTGTATTTATATAGCCCCATGTTTGAGCCACGTTAAAATTTTCATTCTCATTCTTCTACTCATTTTCAACCACACATTCTTCAATAAAATAATATTTTTCATCATATCAATAATTTTTCTTTCTTTTTCAATCACACATTCTCCATCAATCTACTATTCCAAAATACATTCTTCCAAAATAATGTGACTCAAACACACTCGAACATAGCAATTCAATATGAGTTTTTTTTTCAACTAATGCATAAAAGTGCGGTGATTACANAAAATATTTTTATAGCTCATGTTTGAGTCACATTAAAATTTTTATTTTCATTCTTCTACTCATTTTCAACCACACATTTTTCAATAAAATAATATTTTTCATCATATCAATAATTTTTCTTTCTTTTTCAATCACACATTCTTCATCAATCTTCCATTCCAAAATACATTCTTCCAAAATGAACGTTGATTATTATTACATCATCATGAATTATTATTATTATTAGAATTTATTTTACTAGTTTAACGACTTATAACATTATTAAATATCTATTTAAGATAATATATTTACCATGATTATTTTTAAAAAAATTAATATATATTGAATCGCAAAATAATAAAATTGGAATAACTATAGATGAATATAGCAACAAATATTGAACACAATAATTTTATTTTATTCGTGAATGCTAAAATTAATATTTTAAACGACGAATGATTAGAGAAGTTACAAGCCAAATATGGAAGCTACTCTTACAATTTATAAAACAAAATTACCAAATATCTAAGCCTCTATTTTGGAAGAATTTATAAATGGTTTGATTTATAAATATGTAGAAATGAGCGGTTAATAAGTATAATATTTGTGGATTGATTAAAATGTATGATTATAAAATTTGATTAACTTATAAATAATTTATAAACTTGCCCAACGAAGTATGAAATGTTTGTGATTGTTTGATAATTACAAGTTGGGGTTCTAAAAGCAATCCAAAACAAGACCTAAGTGCTTGATTGAGGAAAGTTGATACAATGTGGATTTTCTACTTCAGTGGTGCTAAGCTCCAGCTTGAGAATCGTAACCGATGCATGTAACAATGCACAATATCTTTATGACGTGAGTAATATTATTCATTCAGAATTTAGAGAATTATCGATCTATGTGACAATTAGGTTATTATCATATTGTCCAATGAACTTTCAATGCATTTTAGATATTGAATATTAAACAATGCGAAAGTGATCATCCGTTAGCATGAATTGCAAAGGGTAAACATTGATTACAAATAACATTATTATTCTTATTACATATTTTGCCCTTGTTTCGTCGCCATTTCACTGTAGCATGATTTGTTTCTAAAATATAATTTTCTTTCTTATTTTCAACAACACATTTTTTAATAAAATAATATTACACATAAATCTAAAAAAAAATCTTATTTTTTAATCACATTTTCTATCAAAATACTATTTTGAAATGCATTTCCATAAAAATTGAACACTATAACCATTAAATTTTAAGATTAATCTACTTGTACACCTATTCTTTACACCTTTCATTATACTTCCTTATGTGTCAAAAATCTGATCATGCATTGAAAATGTGTTGTTAAAATCACCAAAAATTGTCAATTCACCAAGGTGTAAATCATCGTGTCAACATTCATTTACATATAGCATGATCTTTTTTATAACTATACTTCTCTTTGTGTTTTTTGGTTATGGCGAAAATTGTGCCACATCTACTACGATTCTTGAAACCATAATGGCAGTTTTGATTGTATGTAGAGTATCCTTGTTTGTTCTTCTTTACATTTCTCTTATCTTCAGCTTGTTCCTGCACAGTAACACACTGCAAATTATTAACTATCTTTCACGTCAATTTTATCGTTAACATATCCAATAAGATAGTAGCTCATTTACGAACATGAATTTTGCAATCCGACAATTTGCTTGAGTTTAGAAGAATTTAATTTCTCGTATTTTTAAACTCTAATACCACATGGATTACTCGGTATTAAAGTTTCATCTTAATATATCACACTTGTCGAGAAAAGTAGGAATCACTATAGAAATCATTTCATATCTCTATGTTCAATCTATAGCTTGTAAGTATAAGAATGCTAATATCAAATCAATGGCTTTATGCAATTGAAAAATCCCATCCCATCCCAACTTGAACTTGATTACAAGGAAAGAAAATAAATCAAATATGAAACGAAAATTCAAAATAAGTATCTTTTCTACAATCCGAATGTCATATCATCACATGTTCATAGATTTAAAGAAGACAGAAGTATAGAGATGATAAGTCGATAAATAATATCTATGTTTACCTTTAAATGTTTTGAGGTAGCAATATTTGATGATACAAATTCAACATGAAAATCGTTGGCCAGCCCTGGATTTAGCTCTTTTTCCGCATTAACAGCTGGAAAGGCAAAGTAAAGACGGACACGTGTCACCATTTCCAATCGTCGTCAAAAATCCTTTTTTTTTAATTCTCTGAAATTTGTCAAAATTTTCCACGCTGCCATTCCTGCTTCTCCATTATCTCATGCAACCACACAATCCTCCTTCATTTTTCCACGCAACCTCCGATTGCAAACTTCTCATTCCTTTCCATTTGCAGGCTAATGCTGTCAAACAATAGATTTTTTGCTCCTAAGAGAATTTGGCAAACTCGTGCAGTTGGAATACACCTCAAGTTTGGATTATATTTTCCCCATTTCTTTCTGTCATTGTATAGTCTTCTAATCCTCTAGAGTTTTAACCTGGCTGAGCCTCTTCATATTCTTTGCATTTTCGTCGTCACTTTTCGCCTCCTCTTTTACCCCTCTCTTTGTCGTTGTCACATTTCTGACTGGGATGAGGATGCTCCACTGGACATTGAAGATGAGGATGATGTGCAGCCTGAGGGATGGTTGGATGATGAGACTAAGGAGATCCTTGATCCCGAGGCAACAAAACCCGAAGATTGGGATGATGAGGAGGATGGTGAATGGGAGGCTCCAAAGATTGATAAAATGCACCTGGATGTGGGGAGTGGAAGAGGCCAATGAAAAGGAATCCTGCATACAAAGGGAAATGGCATGCTCCCCTTGTTGAAAATCCCAACTACAAGGGTATTTGGAAGCCCCGGCTAATTGGAAACCCTGAATACATCGAGTTTGAGAAACCAAATTTTGAGTCGATTGTGGCTATCGGCATTGAAATCTGGACAATGCAGGATGGTATACTGTTTGACAATCTTTTAATAGCTTCCGATGAAAAAGTTGCACAAACTTACCGAAACACTACATGGAAGCCGAAATTTGAAGCAGAGAGAGACGGAATGTTGAGGAATCTGCCGTTTCAGATGGTCTTCAGGGAGTCCAGGTGCTTAGTCAAGACTGTCCTCTTTCTCATGGTTTCCACATTTGCTTGCTGCTATCTCTAAATCT